GGTTCATGTGTTTTGAGGAGTTAGAAAACAGTGCCGCCTTATGTTATTGCTCTAGAAACTTCAAATCCCGTTGTGACAGTGAATGTAACTGTGATAATAGTACAATTCCAGTTTTCCACTTTGGAAAACAGCCGTTGGTCTTAAAGCTCCATTTATACTACACAAAAAATATCTATGGTCCTAAAAACAGGCTTTTGTTGCTTTACACAAAATGTAATTTCTTATTTTCTTTCCTTTTGATTTTGTGATGAAATGTGACCAAGTAGCAAAGTTTACAGAGATTCACCCACAAATTTGTTCCAACTCTCTGATTCAGATTATGGTAATGTGATACTCATGCAGTATTCACTTCGTAGTGTGCATTCACAGGCAGGGTGGAATGAGACGATCCAGATTCACACAGAATTCCAAACAGAATGCTATTGGGCTGAGAGTTCCGCATGAGGGGGCGTGTCTTTGAAGCTGTGTGTTCCAGTGGGTGTGGTCTAAGGGCGTGGCTCAGGCCTGCAGGTACTCCGGCTGTACCCGTGCGACCTTGCGAAACTCTTTGGCGTGTGTGCATGGACACTGCATCTCACACCAGCTGATGGGCACCATCTGAGCCCCTGCGGGAAGAAATTTCAGACTGTGAAGAACAATGAACATTTTTGGGTGAACTCTTCTCACTCTCAGGCCTTCCAAGATGTAGATGAGCTTGTGTCTTCATCACAACAGATCTGGAGAAATGTAGCATTGCATCACTTGCTCACCAATGGATCCTCTGCAGTGAATGGGTGCCGTCAGAACGAGAGTCCAAACAGCTGATAAAAACATCACAATAATCCACAAGTAATCCAGGCCATCAATTAAACGTCTGGTGAAGCAAAAAAATCTGAGAGTTTGTAATCATTAAGATGTTTTTTAACTTCCAACTGTTGCTTCCAGCTAAAATCAAGTCTTCTATCTATAATATTGGTTTCTCCAGTGAAAAAGTCGTTTCGGCTGAATCAGGAGAGAAATCTGCACAGATCAAGCACTGTTTACAAGCCAAAACAGCTCTGAACAAATATGTGTGTGGATTTTGATGTGAGAGGACAACAGGGGATGGACTTTTTCACTGGAGGAAGAGTTATTATGGACTCGTATTTTGGCCAGAAGTGACAGTTTAAAGTTGAAAAGTCTTAATAATGAATTTGTTTCTTACAAACATGCAGCTTTTCGCTTCACAAGACATTAAACTGATGTACTGGAGCGGTGTGGATTATTGTGATGTTTTTATCAGCTGTTTGGACTCTCATTCTGACGGCACCCATTCACTGCAGAGGATCCACTGGTGAACAAGTGATGCAATGCTACATTTCTCCAAATCTGTTCCTATTAAGAAACAAACTCATCTTGGATCGCCTAAGAGGGAGTATATTTTCAGCAAACGTTCATTTTTGGATGAACTATTTTTTTAAGTGCACTGCTATTTGAACGCTCCCTCACCCGCCTCGCTGTGTGCCACGACTACACCCAGCTCGTTCTCCGCTGTAGTCAGCAGGTAGTTCGACTGCACGTCGCCCAAAGAGATCTGACAGCCAAGGTCAAGGGTCATACGCAACACAGCCATGACAACAGGAAAACCACTTTTCATTTAGCATAAAGGATACAACTTTTGCAAGGACAATGTCGCCTGGCCTGAAGCTTTTATACGTCTCCACCTGTAAAGAGCAATTCAATACATGACATTTTAACCCTCCTACACTTTTTGAAAAAGTGCCATATATAAGATGTTTGTGAACATTTTTGCCCGGGAACAGCAAGTATAATTTTTTTTAATTAAATTATATAAAAACTAATTAACCTGGAGTAGTAATCATAGAATATGCACTTCTATTTGAGATTTTAGGTAATTGAGATCTCATTTAGATCATATTTATGTGCAGTTTGTTTGCATGTATAAGCAAATATGCAAACTTTTGGAACATTATTACAGTAAAAATCTACATCTAGAAGTTTAAAACAAAATATGTGAATTTAAGCTTAGAAAATATATAATAATAATACAATAATTTTTTGTCAAATTTTGGTATATATATATATTATTATTATTATTATTAATTTTTTTTTTTTTTATCATTACTGTTAGGGTCTTTCGCATTAAATTTTTATATTATTTTTTAAAACAAAACAAAAATGAAGAGCTTATTCTGTAAAAAACATTAATAATTTCCCATTAACTCACCTTATCTTTCTCTGTCGCTCTCACATCTTCTCTTCTGGAGAAATCAAACCAAACAGAGTTTAGCATATTTTACTTCTATTACTGATAATAATTTACCCAACAGGACTTGCTTGTAAAACCTGAATGAAACTTACTTTATTTATTTAATACATATGATAGATAAAAAAATGAGGGATTGATTGATGAATAAAACATCCATACCTGATAGTGCCTCTAAACCTGTCTTTTAGTGGCGTCGAACCGACATACAAGATGTGGACTTTAGCAAATCGTGGGTTGATACTCGTCACCTGCAAAAGAAACAATCATACATTTAATGCACAGAAAAATGTAACATAATAACATCACACAGCGAATGACAAACAAAACGAGAGCAGAACGATTCAGGCATGATTCGACCATAGCATTAGACACCAGTGCTGTGTTGTTTAGTACAGGACTCTCACCTTACAGGTGACGATGGCACCGACGTCAGGCAAAAGTTGCGTTTCTGTCTCCCTAACGACTGAAATCACCGGCAGCTGTAAAGGAAGAGGATGGAATAAAATGTCACCACTGGATTATCAAGATGCATGAGCGTCTAAGTCTTACAAATGAACGAAATGGCTATGTTCAAACAAAAATGTCCATAAAAGTGACAATGATGAACTGACCTCCTCTCCCTGGTTCTTTCTCAGCACGTATCCCGCGAGCGAAGCGAAGATGTAGCCGTGCCGCAGATACGTGCCGGTGCCGGGCATACAGTCCTCCGTGCTGCAGAGCCTTTCACCTGCACGAACAACAGCAGACAAACCAAGTTTGTAAAAACACACAAATCATGTACAGTGAAACACTTATAGCGGAAGTCTATGGGGCAGGAATAGACGTAAAAAATGCACCTCAACACTTTAACCACAAGACTCAATCATTTTACATTGCAAAAGTAAAGTTATTCCAATATTTCACCTGTTACTGCAATATGTTTAGAAAAATCATTTTTGCCATGGAATAAAAATATAATAAAGACAACAGAGTTTTTGCCTCACATTTCTGACTTTTTCTCTCTCATTTGCGAGTTTACATCTCACAATTTTGACTTTTTCATCTGAGTTTACATCTCGCTTTTTTTTTGTTTGTTTTCGCTCCAAAAGCCAGAGAATTTAAAAAAAATTAATCACGACTTTTAAATCTCACAATTCAGATTTTTTTGTTTTCGCAATTCTGAGTTTATATCGCACAAGTCTGAAAACTGCTGGAGAAAGAAAAGTTAGTATTGCACGATGCAAACAAAAAATTACATTTTTTTCTTTTTTTATATCGTGGAGGTACTGTTTTTATAGTTTACATACTGTAATAAAGTGTTTTTATTAGTGCTGTCAAATCGATTAATGACAACATATATATGTGCGTACTGTGCATAATCATATGTATTTATAAATACACACACATACTGACATGTATATATTTAAGAAATATATGTAATATATATATATTATGTAAACACAAACTTTTATTTTTGGATGCCATTAATCGATTTGACAGCACTAGTTTTCATATATTACATAATATGACAATTTGAATATGTATTAAAAAAAAATGCACACAGAATAACGTCGTTAAAATAGTTAGTTCATCCGCTAAGAAAAGTAGTCCCACCGCTAAAAAGAGGGTCTTCTCTCAAATAACAAATAAAACATGCAGTTCTGTACAGAAAATAATTAATTAAAATATATTAACAAAATTGTTAGCTTTACATTTCTACTTCAAAACCCTTCCTTACCATTGCAAGTAAATAAACGCGATTTTTTTCTAAACTGAAACTTATTTTCCGTCACAGATTTATTTATTTAGTCATTTATTACTCTTTTTTATCCAGCGACTTACAAATGAGGACAACAGAAGCACTCAATTGTAGTATTAAAACAACTAATGTAAGTGCTGTGACAAGTCCCGGTTAGTCTAA